AAGAGCCGATAACATTTCGTGCCGCGCCACGGAGAGCGGTGCCTCAACAAATTGCGCCAGCATGGTCTTGAGACGTGTGACATGAAGAGGCACATTGGCAAAAAGTGTAGCGTGATACTTTGTGAGCAAGACGTGGCCGTGGGTCCCTCAGCATCACAGATAGCATTGAAGAGCGAGCTGAGAACCTGTTGAAACCAAGTGCAGGCCAGATTGCGTGATGTAAGGCCGGGATATGTATGGCAGTGGGTCAAAACTTGGCTAATCGTTACAATAGACAAACCTCGCTGTCCAGGGATTCAGCACCGTGACCCAAGTGGGTCAGCAAAAGGTCAATGTCAATTCGGGCTTCGTCCACTGTGCCGGAGAGCGAGGCTTGGACCACGCGCCCTCGGCACATTTGCTGCAACTCCGCCATCATGAATTGATCTGCCGCTTCGAGTTGACGCTCATCAGCTTCGCGCATTGGTTGATAAACACGGCTTCCTTTGCTTTCAAGTAAAGAGGGTTCTTTGCAGACAGCACAGGGTTGGGGTTTGTTCGCCACTGGCATGGTATCAAGAACATGGGAAAGTAGAAAGAGAAGGAGTGCTTCCACACCCTCGGGCTTCATGGTGTCGCTGCTTTCTGCAGCCGAGTCCTCTTGAGCCTTCTGAAAGGCTTGCGTAAGTGGCAGGGGATTGGGCATGGTGGCTGCCACAGAGGGCTTCCGTACAGCTTGTAGCATGCACGCCAATCCTCGAAACTCTTCAATCGTGCCTCGCAGAGCCAAGCCATGTTGCAGCGCAGACAGTGGTTTGACATCTAGTAAGATTGTGGTTTTGTGAGAGGCAGCAACAACTGCCATTTTGCTGGAGGTAACTGTTGTGCACACGGTGGGCTGGCCGGCCCGCGTGGGCCATGCTTTATCCTCAAAACACCCCCAACGGTAAAGCTGGCCATCTTGAGCAAGGGCATAGGTGCCCTCGCTATGAGCAAAGATATCACAGATCTGCATCGTGTGCATTCCGGGAAACGATACAACTTCCAGACGGCGGCTGTTTCCGGAGCGACCAAGGAGGTTATCCTCGTTGCGACCGACGGTGTACACCTGGCCATCAGCAGTGAGTACCACTGAAAAGTTGCACCAGCTATGGCTTTGATCACATTTTGAAGCTTCGGCACAGCCATGGGTGTGTCGTTGTCTCCAGTGCGGCCCAGTTTTCCGTAGTCTGCGTCACCAAAAGAGTAGAGGCGGCCGTCTGATCCCACCACAAGGGTGTGGGAGTCTTTGAAGCCGCAGGAGACTGTCAAAGCACGCACACTCCCTTGGGCGAAGAAAGACACGAGCCTAACACAGCATGCCACCAGTTTTCCAGGCGAATGAATGGCGGGGTTAAAGCCCACGCGGGTGAAGCACAAATTCAAATATGAAGACGACCCAAGACAAAACAAGAAGAAGAAGAAGAAGAAGAAGAAGAAGAAGAAGAAGAAGAAGAAGAAGAAGAAGAAGAAGAAGAAGAAGAAGAAGAAGAAGAAGAAGAAGAAGAAGAAGAAGAAGAAGAAGAAGAAGAAGAAGGAGGAGGAGGAGGAGGAGGAAGAGTTCAAAATTATTCCGAGCTCCAGACGGCGCAGCCATTGTGAGTGGCGAGCAACGACCTACCGAGGAGTCATAGCAGAATCGCGATTGCCGTGACCCAGACGACCGTACGCCGGGCTTCCCCAGGTGTAGAGGTGATTTTCACAATCAATCGCGGCCGAGTAGCCATTGCCAACAGCAATCTACCAGGAACCGTTCAGTGCATCAGAAAAGGCAAAGACAGGCGAATCCGTCCGCGCAGGGCGGTCATGCCAGGCGGACAGACCTGAACAAATTTCACGTGACTCGGAATCTTAAAAGGCATCGCGCAGAAATTGGCGTGGCCCAACCCAAGGCATCCGCGATTGTTGAACCCCCAAGAAAAGATGGCGCCATCTACACGGTGCCGGATGCCCACGGTTAGAGTTCCATGACTCGGAATGGACGACTGGCGCAGCAGCCGCGGAGGCGAGTGCGCTGTGACAGACCTGCACGCAGGGCCAGCACGTGTTCTGCTGCGACAACTTTGATAAATTTCCAACTCGAGTCAACGCCAACAACGGGCTGAAGCTCAGTGGAGCTGGAGTGGGTACGCAGAGTCTGGTGCATCAGAGTGGGAATCACAAATGAGGGTGGGATGGCTGCATCGTATTAGCATAAACATGCAAAGGGTGGACGTACGTTGGATTCGCTTGCGCTCCACAGGCGACCATCCTCGTCAATCAGAAATAAAGTGGACTATGTGAATGTTTAAAAATGCAGGCCCGTGAGCATGGGGACCACACCGCAGCGGGAGAATGACAGGCTCGTACCCCGTCCATGCTCAAGCAAAGGTCAATGGGTTTGTGGGCATCGATGTCTGTTGGCGAGCACTACTCGGATGGGGCACATGAAACGAAATCAGGTGAAGACGTTGCTGTAAGAAGAAGGGGACGAGGTCATGCACAGTTCGTACTGGAAGTGATTGGCCAAAGACGGTGGCGACACGCTCGACTTTGGCCACAGCCGAAGCTTTCAAGCCATACAACAAGTCTATTTCAACATCAGGAGATAGAGGTCAGATGGGGTGTATCCGCCCTTCTCAAATTTGCCACGGGGCACACAGACGCACCGGCAAGAAAATCGCGTGAAGTCTGCGTTTGGGCCTGGGTCGCAGTGAAGCATGTGGTTCAACCGCAGCATGACAAGCGTGAGTTGATCTGACTTCCTGGGTTATTTGATACTTGAGGCAACTCGCGTGGTGCCACACTGATGCCGTGACGTACCGGCATGCCAGTGATACGGGATAAAACATTGGCGTGTTCGCCCAGATTAAAGTCAAAGTCGTGCTAGGGGGGGGGGGTGGGAGAAAAATGAGAGTGAGGCATGGCGGAAGCGAGAGACTGCTTCAAATTTTGAGTCGAGAAGCGTGTCGCTTTGCCATTTGAGGGAAGAAGGCATGAATGCCTGGACAACGGCAGTCGATCCACAAACCTCAAGAAGATGGGCCACAAGCTCAAGCACAAGGCCGGTATCCAAATCCTTGCCAGCAGATGCCAAAGCTAGGGCGACAGTACGTTGGCGAAAGGTATCATTTCCGCTGAGTTGAAGGGTGCTCAGGTCTAAAAGCTGGCTGCAAAAGAGGCGCAAAAGAGCACGGGCACCAGGGTCGGCGGCAAGAAAAGCCTGCATCTCTGAAGCGGGAAGACCAGCTACGACGTTGTGCGCTTCTTGAAACACTTGCAGGCACATGCTTCGGGCCACGGGGTCACAAGCATCGCCGAGAAGCTGACGAGCGTTGGCGAGCATCATCAAGAGCTGAGCACGACGCTGAAAATCAAAGAGTGTGCGCGGGACTGTACTCTTGTTCTGGGGTATGGTTACTCGAGGGCTGGCCAAAGTTTCAGCTTGAAATGCTTGTTGGGCAGGGGCGTTGCTCATTTCAATATGACCTTGTGATTCGGGCTGTGCGTGAGAGCTTGCGTCATCGCTGCTGTCGCTGTCATCGCTGCTATCGCTCTCTTCCTCGGAATGCCCATCGCTAGGAGAAGTACTGGCGCGCTGTGGGTCACCATGGGAATGTGCTTCGTCATCGCTGCTGCCGTGATTGCTTTCCTGGTCATGCTGGGAATCATCATGGTTGCTGCTATTACTGCTGGTGCTGCTGGTGCTGCTGCTACTGCTGCTGCTTCTGCGAGAATGCGCACTCTGCCCATCCAGTCCAATAGGCACATTATCGTTTGAAGCTTCATTGTTGAGGGACGAAGTAGCGTGCGCGATTGCGGCTTCATCCACAGCGTTTGCAGCGTGCCGCTTGGCTAAAAACCGAGCGACGAGCAGGCGCGTGCGCGAAGCCAAATCTTGGGTTTTTTCCACCTGAGGGTTTTCTGTGGGTGCATCTTGGTCACCCATGAGCGGAGGGGCTATGGCTTGTTTGACCAACATATCCACGTCGGCGCTAGAGAGCTCATCTTGGGTGAGGTGAAGGATCCAGCGGCGGAGACTCGTGATTTGCACAATTGCAAAGTATACCATGCTGTAGCCTACGGTGCTGTCCGAAGCCTCTTGCGTCTCAGACCAGGACTAGGAGCCATCATAGATTGGGTGAGTTACGTGTTGGGTCAACGATGGCATATGCAGCGGACCAACAGGGGAGCACGGGGGCATCCTGCGTGTACCTGATTGAGCAAGCGGTCAATCTCGAGGGGTACCGAGGTTTGGGGATGGTCAACCCCGGCTGTGCCAGATCGGCTGTCTGGATCATTGCATCGCAAAGCCGCATTGAGCGTCTCGGGCAAGTTGGGCCAAAGGCGGGGTACCCCTGTGCGGGGTGTGTCAGTGCGACGAGCTTATCAATCGCTCGAACAACGGGTGATCTATGGCAACCCTGTTAGTGATAGTGATGAGGGAGGCAAAGTCAAGAGCTGGTGCGATCAGCCGAATGCAAGGAGGCAATTGTGGTGGGTGTTGACGCGCCAAAGGCCCCACGAACCATTTTGGCGCTGCTGACGGCGTCTTAAGT